TGTAATACTGGAGAGTGGTCTAGTACCAAAAGACTGGTGTCTAGGTAGTATAGTCCCTATTTTCAAAAATAGAGGAAAGGATACAGATCCAGATAACTATCGTGGGATAACACTTTTAAGCTGTTTGGGAAAATTGTTTACTTCCATCTTGAATTATAGGATAACAATTTATTTCGAAAATGAATGCAAGCTTGGAGAAGAACAGGCTGGCTTTCGTGCTGGCTATTCTACAACAGACCATATTTTTGTTTTGAAATCCCTGCTTGACATTTACTTGTCTAAACGTAAGAGAATTTACTGCGCTTTTATAGACTATAGAAAAGCTTTTGATATGGTTGATAGGGTTTCACTTTGGCACAAATTATTGAGGTCAGGGGTGGATGGTAAGGTGTTCACAGTTATTAAGAATATGTATTCTCAAGCAAAATCGTGCGTGATAGTAGATGGTCAAATGTCTGAGGCTTTTCAATGCGATGTTGGTGTTAGGCAGGGTGAAAACTTATCACCACTGCTCTTTGCAATATATCTTAATGATTTCGAGGATTTTCTCAGTAAACACTTTAAAGGTCTCAAATTTTTAGTTGAAAATGTATGTGCTGACATTTTAGATAAAGAAGTAAACAAAGATCTTTTCTTACAATTATACACATTGTTGTACGCAGATGACACCCTAATATTGGCTGACACAGCAGAGGAATTGCAAGTGGCTTTGAATGCCTTGTCTCAATATTGTAAAATTTGGAAGTTAAGTGTTAATGCTATGAAAACTAAAGTACTTATATTTTCAAGAGGCAAAGTACGTAAATTTCCAGTTTTCAGATTTGGAGAAGATGAAATTGATGTTGTGGATGATTTTGTATATCTTGGGGTTCAGGTTAATTATAATGGAAGTTTTAAAAAGGCTATTTCAAAACAGGTATCACAGGCCAGGAAAGCCCTCTTCTCTATGTCATTAAAGGTTCAAAGACTCAAACTGCCACTGGATATTCAATGTGAATTGTTTGACCAACTTGTATTACCAATACTCATTTATGGATGCGAAGTGTGGGGATATGAAGATCTGAGTCAAATTGAAATATTCCATAGAAAATTTCTCAGGTCAGCGTTATGTGTAAATAAATTTACACCAGATTGTATGATATATGGAGAAACTGGGAGGGCATGGCTAGCTAACAGTATCAAACATCGAATGGTTAGTTTCTGGTTAAGAATAGTAAAAGGTTCTCCCTCTAAATATTCAGTCAAATTTTATTTTTTGCAAAGGTTAATTAGTCAGAATGTAGATATGTCTACTTCTTTCAAGTGGTTATCTTGTATTGAAAAAATATTGAACCATGCTGGTCTTGGTATTGTTTGGCTAAAGCAAGGGGAAGGATTTAGCAATAGTTGGATACTGAGCACTCTGAAGTTGAGATTAAACGATATTTCAAAACAAGATGTGATGGCAACAATTTGGACAAACAGTGTGTGCCTAAATTATAGGATCTTTAAAGAGGATTGTCTCTTTGAAAGGTATTTAGTTTTGCTGAGTAAAAAAGATAGAATAACACTGAGCCGTTTTAGATGTAGGTCACACCGTTTACCAATTAATAATAACAGATTCAAAGAAGCTGTTAATGAAATTAGTATTGAATGCCCATGTTGTGATATGCATGAGTCTGGTGATGAATTCCATTATGTTTTTGTATGCCCTTTTTTCAGAAAGGAAAGAGAGTTATATTTAGGTCGCAAAGTAAAAGTTAAACGCCCTTGCACATCACACATGTTGAATTTATTTTCATGTTCCGGTATAGGACAGCTGAAGAAATTAGTACTCTTCTTAAGGATAATAATGTCATATTTTGCTCGTCTATATACATGTAAATCTGAACAATCCAATCATATGTCGCCCATAAAAAGAAATGTTACAACCCGAAGTGGTAGGTTAATTAAGCAACCAACAATTCTTGATCTGTAGTACAGTCTTTCTTTAGGTCAAGTATAGTTTTGATGGTTTGTTTGTTCTTTTGTTCATTTTTTTTGGTTTTTTTTTGTTAGTATACTTTTTGTTTTGTTTGTCTTATTACATTATATTCCATTATGTTTTTGTTTGTCCAATGGACGATTATGGCGTATTTTGTTAGTCTGCATATATCTTAACAATCCAATCACAACTCACTTACATGTACAAAAATGAAACTTATAATTTCTTTTTTAGTTAAGACAATAATGTATTTAAACAAAAACAAAAAATTGTAAAATTATTTTTTGTTTTTATCTTTCTTTTTCTTTGTGTTTGTATTTAGATTGTTCATGTGGTATTTTCCACTTTTCATGTATGCTTGCCATATTGTATAATATTGTATTTATGTTTAGCATAGGCTAGGTTTAGATCATTCCTATTTATCGTTATACTTTTATATTGTTGTTTTGTTGTATTCTGTATTCTTTGTATTATTAAGCTATGTTTGTATTCTTTATTATGTATCATTATCATGACATGTACATGTGTTGTACTCTCATACCCCAGAAGGGGGTCGAATGAGTCAATAAATTCTATTCTATTCTATTCTGGTACCAATGATCGCGAATCCTAGCTCTCCGTCAAAACTTATGATAGGCCTGGTACTTAACTTGTCCTGGAACATGTACATGGATGATCAGTAGGCCAATTGAAATTTTGAAATAACCGTTAGATGTTTGATATCTCGACCTATCGCTCTCATGATAATGAATGCTGAAAGAAAGATTTCTTTTTGTTGTGCACAATGAGAGCGTTTACGTGAGGATACAAAATACATATTACATTGCACTTATGGAATGTCTGCCCAAAAGGGGATTTTGTTATCGAATTTTGCAGATACTTACACAAGTAATATGAACAACCTTCTGCTTTCGCATTCTAATCCTGAAATGGATGGCTCATGAAATGTCATTGTAAATGCGAATTACGACAAAATATATTTGAATGCTTGGACAAATTGAATTTTGATGCCACATGTTTGTGTATAGTCCCTGCTCTTCTAGCCGTGTGCAGTGCTTGTCGCTGCATGTGATTTTATAAACGATGACGGATGTGCATGGTACCAGTGGCGGATCCAGGGGGGGGGCCCGGGCCCCCCCCCCCCTCCTTGAGAAAAAAATCATGTAAAATCACGTGATTTTTACCTTTTTGGGGGTTGGGCCCCCCCCCCTGGCGCTCAAGGGGGGGGGGGTGCAAATTGAATTTTTTTTGACCCCCCCCCCCCCCCCCCCACTGAGCGAATTTTTGGCCGGCGCGATTTTCAAATTTTCGGGAGCAAAAAAAAAAAAAGTTGGGCCCCCTCCCCTAAGAAATCCTGGATCCGCGCCTGCATGGTACCATTACCAATGATCGCAAATCCTATAGCTCGATCTCAAAACTTATGATAGTTAACTTTTCCTAATATACATGTACATCATGATAAGTAGGCCGATTCAAATTTTAACCATTAGATATTTGATATCTCGACCTATTATTTGCAGTCATATATTCGAATATGCTGCAAAAACTATTTCTTTTTGTTCTGCACTGCACCATGATAGCGGTACGTGAGGATAACAGATATACATATTACATTGCACTTGTGGAATGTCTGCCAAAGAAGGGATTTTATTATCGAATTTTGCAGACATCACACAAGTAATACGAGCGACCTTTTGCTTTCGCATTCTAACCCCGATAACTATTTCCTTTGACACCGTTAGCACTTAGCAGACAATTAAGTCACGTTTGGGAGGAGATCAGTGAACGTTTTGAACGAAAACGAATGAACAGGTTGAATTCACTAAATTTGGACTATCTTTTTGTTGTTGTGACGCCACATAATATGTCGTGTAATAAAGTGTAACCCACAGATCGGGGAGCATGCAGGCCGATGGTGTGCTTGGGGTTCAATACGTACCCCTTAAAGAAACTATGTCCCTTTTGCACCCAACATCAAATTCTGTAGAGCTTTGTAGGAATTATGAATATGTCATGCATGTCCTATCTGTGAAATTCAAGTATTAGCAGTGTCCTAGTATTCAAATTATGCAAGGAAACCTGTTTACCTTATACAGACTTCACTGTCAGACTCAGACACTATTGAGTGACTGACTGACATCTTTTTTTTCTAGGTCAATAATTAACCATTCGGTTAAATGGTCGTTATTTTCCTTTCGTTTTAAGGGAAGTTCTAAATTAGTATTGTCTTTCAATTGGATCAAAGAAAGAATCACGTCGAATGTCCATCCGTAATAGGTCCATGGTCTGACACAACCAATGAGTGACAGAGCTCTAAGCTAGCTCTGCTCAAGGCTTTATAGAAATCTTGGTAAAGTCCTATCTGTGAAATTCAAGTATTAGCAGTGTCCTAGTATTCAAATTATGCAAGGAAACCTGTTTACCTTATACAGACTTCACTGTCAGACTCAGACACTATTGAGTGACTGACTGACATCTTTTTTTTCTAGGTCAATAATTAACCATTCGGTTAAATGGTCGTTATTTTCCTTTCGTTTTAAGGGAAGTTCTAAATTAGTATTGTCTTTCAATTGGATCAAAGAAAGAATCACGTCGAATGTCCATCCGTAATAGGTCCATGGTCTGACACAACCAATGAGTGACAGAGCTCTAAGCTAGCTCTGCTCAAGGCTTTATAGAAATCTTGGTAAAGTGTCAGTGTCTGCAGACTAACTACGCCCCCCTTGCCCCCTTGCCCCCCCCCCAATCCTCTTATGATTAATGTTCTATCATAATCCGTGTCAAAATGATGGTCTTATATAATTATACAGGACTGCGATTATCGAATTTTTATTCAAAATTTTCAATAATATTCTGTTTTGATAAATGCCTTAACTAGCGTATACATGTCAATTTAGTAGGATTTCTTTGTCTCTTTTCGTCCTTAAATACACCCTGTCAATTAATTTTTGACAACAAAAAGCCGGGTACCTGCATTATCTTATAAACAGTGTAGACATTTCCTTCCCCAAAGACCCCAATCATGCACTAACTATATATTATTATACGCCTGCATGCACCGTCAAATATTAAGTTCAACGCGATTCGATCTGTACGTGTATGCATGATTTCCTATAAAGCCTGCTTACTCAAACGTACAATAATAAGTGGTTGACTTTGGTCTATTACAAGCCTCAGGCGACGTTTACTTTCAAACTGTGTCCAGCATTATTAAGGTAAGACGGTGATTCTTTGATATTAATTTCCTACATTCACGAATAATGCCTGCTCGCATGTTTTAAATCCTTTTATCTCCAAATGCAAATTTCGCATCTAGACATGCAAGACTTGTGCACAACTGGGAAATCCAAAACTTGCAATAAGTTCATTTTGAATGAAGGCATAAAGATCAGTGAAACAGAACGGTTTGAAATAAATCGGACCGATGATAATTTTACTTTGTAAGATCCATGCAATTCAGCACTTAACTGGGCTGCCGTGTGGATTTACTTTAATAAATACCATTTCAATTCAATTCAATTCAATTCACTTGTGGATTTCAACCCTTGCACACCGGAGCTATATTTTGTAGGCAGTGGCGTACAGCATTCGTGCATTCGTAATTCAGATTTCATTGGTGTGTGCAGGGGCGGATCCAGCCGGCGGCAGGGGAAGGAGCCCAATTTGTGAGAAAATATTTAGCGGCGAAATAGCCGGCCGATAATTTGCTCAGTGGGGGGGGGGGGGGGGGGGGGGGGGGGGGGGGGGGTAGTGAGCACTATATATCTTTTTTTGAGGGGGAAGCCCTCAAAATTTGAAAAATCGCACCCCCTCCCCCTTGAGCGCCAGGGGAGGGGGCTCATCTATAAAAATAAATAAATAAAAAGAGGTATAATTAATGTTTTCTTCCAATAATATACATCGACTGACCATCAGATAAAGTCTATTCTCTACTTTCGAAAGTGAAGAACAAGTCTACTCTTATTATTGGCTATTCTACTTTGTTGGAGACTGCATGATCGAGTGCCTTAAAACCATCCATGTTTGGGGAAGATCCCTCTGAATCTGTAATTATAAACATAATGCAGCGAAAAGAAAAAGGTTCTGCCTCCTTCAGGTTATACAAGACATTATTCAATCATGAAAGACGATGTTTACATTATAAAGGCTGAAATTTGTGTTGAAGCGGACAAAGTCCAAGATTAGTGTAAAGTCTAGCTTACCTGTGCTCTGACAATGGCTCCACCCCCCCCCCCCGCCACCTTACAGAACTCGGGCTAGGGTTGCATTTTTTATAAAGAGTAGGTAACGGATATAGCTTACTCTATGTAGTGCAGGATGTTAAACGCGGAGCAATAGTCGCTGGAGCATGCGTCGTTTCTACATTCCATTTTTTTTTATAAATATTTTTATATTTGTGTGTTTATTAAATTTTCAATCATATAACACTTCATTGTTTGCCAATGTTAGGGTAACATCAGTCCAAAGGGCAGCAAATTCAATTCTCAAAAAAATGTAAGACCTTATCCAAGAAAGTAATCCGTTATTATGATAAAAGGTCTTTATAATCATATAATAAATATTGGATAGACAGTATGTATAAAGTAATCGTTGAAGGATTCAATGGTGAGGATAGATTTGAGCGAGGTTTGCAGTTATACCGTGTGAGTCAAAGAAAAAGTTAACACTCAGAAAATTGTCATTTATTTTAAAATTCAGCTATGAACGAAAAGTTATCATACATGTTTTGAAAGAGTGTTATATCCCGAATCGTTTGGTATCATGTTTGTGTGTTTTGTTTTCACGCTTGTATAAACAGGAGGCATTGCTTGCGAGAGTGCAAAAGTCGACTTGCGCAAAAGTATTAAAGTGAGAGAATGAATTGAATGTATCAAATGAGATGCATTCATATATTTCATATGCTTTTGATTAGTTGGCCCTGTCACACCGACGAGACGCAATCCAGACCGACACAAGATGAACAAAATAATGTAGGATAAGAGTTGTGGTTAGGGTTAGGGTGTGGTATAGGACTAGGTCCTAAATAAGTTAGGACTTTGGTTATTGTTATAATGGCCGAGCATCCATTTTTGTCAGAGCATGTGCTGCAAAAGCACTCATTCGTCAATCTTTCCTGTTTTTGATAATCGATCCTGTATGAACATTTTATTTTCAGTGACGGATATTCATAATCTGACCATGGAAAAGCTCACAAACTGTCGATCAAAGCGAGAGAATGCCCGTTACCGTGTATTTTGCTTCCCTTGGGCTGGGGGCGGTTCAGGCTTCTACTCGAGCTTGTATCAACATCTACCGGAGCACATCGAAGGTAAGGCTCATCAGTAGTGGCGTAGTGACGTGGCGTAACCTCCCCCCCCCCCCCCCAATCCGACGAAAAATAGTGGGAAAGAAAAAGGAGGAAAGAGAAAAATATGAATAAAATAAATGATGACATTTTAAAAAAAATTAAAGGAAGAGAGAAATAAAAAGACAATAGTAAGGAACTAAGAAAGAAGGAAATAAATAAAGAAAGAAAGAAAGAAAGAAAGAAATGAATAAGAAAAGAAATGAACAAAGAAGGAATAAAGAAGAACATGAAGGCAAGAAGGAAAAAGGAAAGAAAGAAAGAAAGAAAGAAAGACAGAAATAAAGTCTAAGTAAAAGAAACCCACGGCTCTTAAAATGTGTTGCCTCAACATTATTTTTGTTTTTGCGGAGCTTTTTATATACTTGTCAACATTTTTATATATAGATATAGGCCAAGCACATCATCACACTTACTGATATACATATTAACTTGTTTTCTGAATATATATATATATATATATTATTTTTGTAATAACATACTCTATTTATTTTTCTTCTTCTTCGTCTTCCTCTTTCTTTTCTTGTTTTCCTGGTTCGTCCCTAGTCCTTGACTTGGGCTTCCTTCTTGTATTACGGACAAGTGCTTTGTATGTTTTTCCGTGTATCTAATTTTCATTATATTTTCCAATATATGCTATATTGCAAATTTTGTTTCGCATTCTAATGTTCATTTATAAATGTCTGTATTTGTTTTGTTCTATCTTGAAGTGTTTTTATTTTCTTTCTATTTGTTGTGTGTCCTTAAAGGTATATAGACCAGTTCTGGTCATGCGATTGCATTGTAAAAGAAACGTTGTGGAATCGATCAGAAAAGGTTGATCATCTAGCATAAAAGTATTGGTGTGTACTGCAAGGTTTCGGAATCATCAAAATGATAAGAAATTTTGCCCAGTCTTGGTAAAGTTACAATCACTGTACACAGACTACGCGATAAATTATTATATCTATCTGGACTGGATAGATATAATAATTTACCAAATATATTATTAGTAGGCGGTTTCCCGGCCAAATTTGTATCATCACATATTAATAAAAACATATTCTTTCACATGATTGGTAATAAGAGCTTCCATTTCATTTTAGAGGGGGCGTTTCCAAAACTTGTCTATACCTTTAATCAGAACCATGATGAAAACACAGCTTTGCTGATCATTTTTTATCCTGTATACATATATGTCTCAACGAATAACAAAATAATGACAGAAAGCGTGTTCAAGCCTAGGATAATGCATGAATGCACATGACAGTTCAAGGCGGAAAAATGATACACACATTTATACATGTGCTTAAAAAACATCGTTAAACAGAATAAACATAAAATGGAAATAATGCAACAAAAGGAAAGGAAAACAAACGATTTGCAAAATATAACAAACATGACTTGAATGAAGTCATCATGGATACCAGTTATGAGGATACCAATGTAAATATGTATACATAGCAACTCTGGTATCCGGTGTGTCAGGCTGTACCAGATAATATAACATGTACATTTTTCGCCGTTGCTTATGATCTTTTAAATCGAGGCTACACCTTCTCTTGCTGATTTTTGTTTGTTTATGGTATGATTGATCTAAAACTCTCGTGACTATCAAGCATCTGATGTATAAACTAATAACTGTTTGTACATACAAAAATGTGCAACGGCCCACCTTATCCGCTTTTTATGAGGATATCAATTAATTTGTATACTTGTATAATGGGTGTGTGTACTTATTGCTCTATTTTGTTTTGTTGCTGTTATCTGTTTTTATTGATGATTTTTATTGAATAGCATTGTTACCAAACAGAGCCTCATAGAAGACCACCGTAATTGGTGAAATGTGCCACCCTATATAAACATCAGAAATAAATAAATTAATACAATAAATGGATTTAGTGCGTGGGAACAGTAATTATCATTCCGTAGCAATATGGAAGTATTAATTCACTTTATAGAGGTAAAATAATTATATCTATTCAATTCCTTCAAAGGCATGGAAAGTGAACATGTATTACGTAAACCAAAATCAAGATGATGATGACATACTTTAATTGTGTTATATTACTAGTTACTTCCGATGACCAGCCGTATAAATACATAAATGCCGCACACGAAATTACGGAAGCGTTAAAGTGCCATTCTACTTGACGACATGACGAGATATTTCATCTTGTCAAGTCGACTTAATATCCACATAATATCCACATGAACTTTTTGTGAAGTCGACTTGGCAAGATAATTTATTTCGCCATGTCGACATTACTTTTTGGGTAGTCGACTTGGTAAGATAATATATGTCGCCATGACGACATGAACTTTTTGTGAAGTCGACTTGGTAAGATAATTTATTTACATGGTAGGTTAAATATCTTTACATGTCGACATGATATGGATATTAAGTCGACTTGACAAGATGAAATATCTCGTCATGTCGTCAAGTAGAATGGCACTTTAACGCTTCCGTACGAAATGAAGAAAAAAAGAGGAACTAAAAAGGGAAGTTTGGTAGATCGATCATCGAAATTTAGGTGACACTACATTTTAATTTTATATAATATGACTAAATATCGATTTATTGGAATTTCCATGTATATCATTAAATATTATTCATCGTTTCTAAAAATACATGCCCAAAACTCCTCTTATCTATCATCAAGATAGATGCTATTATTTGTAGAGCTGTCATGAATGACTCATGGTAGACACTTGACTTTAGATGTGATTAAATGTTGCACTTTTCAACTAATTCAATGGATCTCTAAAACGAAACCAATTTGTTAATGGATTTAAATTGATGAGATGGTGAATGTTGAATGAGGAAACAAACTTTACTTTTGTGGGTCACTAGAACTTCCTTCTCTTCCGTATATCATTATTGAATGGTGTACTTTCCACTGATGAATCACGGGCTGTAACGGGCCCATGCATCATTTTAAAACTCAACTGACAATCCTTATGTACTCCAACTTAAAGTTCCCCCTTTGTTTTAGTTCTCCCCCCCCCCCGCCCCCACCCATTTCGAAAATGTTAAACAAACAAAAAAAGCATCTGGAATTATTAGACTATTAGTGAGCACCTAAACATGTGATCACTCCTCCAATTTCTGAGGTTGAGAGGGTTTAATTGTCGCATTTTTTCCTTCTCAGAATTGTATGTGTCTCTCCCCCCTCCCTTTTCCAGAATATTGGATCTTGGCCCTATATCTCCATACTCGTGTATAATTGGGCTATTTTCCTAACTTGTTAAAACTCATACTTATAATTTTTTCTCTACTAGAAGCGAATATTACAAGGAGGCGGGGTACGCCTCTGCTTTTTTATATTTATATTTATATGAAATGTTTATTTTCTTAATTGACAATCAGAAGTACTCTGTACCATTTATTGAACAAGGAAATACTCTTTGACGTCTTCGATAGTAATGAAAGTTGCTTTCATCATGCAGTTTTATCCTACTCGAGTGTTAAACTATACAATTTCAAGAAATGTAAATTCTTAACTAATATTGTACTACGATTTTTTTTTGTGTTGGCAAATAGAGCATGCATGGACGCTTTAATATCTCTATGTTTTGCTTTGTTTTTCAATCAAGTCAATTCTGATATTTTGATCCCATTTGGTTACAGTACATGGTATACGTCTGCCTGGTAGAGAGTCACGCTTTCAGGAACCGCTCTACAGAAACCTCCAAAAGATGGTCAAAGATATTGCTACCACTCTCCTACCGACGTTGAAGACGAAACCTTTCATTTTCTTTGGGCACAGGTAAAACGAAAGAGATTGATTATAAAAAAAAGTTTTGTCTCGTCAAGCTTACCGGTTTTCTCACTAATGCACAGGAAGTCCTTATGCTAGAAGATTAAAAAAAAAATAAACATACACAGAAAACACGTAGAAAAGGGAGGTCGAGGCGACTGACTCCGAATCATCGGTTCTTCGCGTCCGGTTGGATGATCGCGTCGATTGTCGGGCAAGAGATGTAAGCCCCTTTAATTAGCCCGCCCAATAATAGTTATGATCGCAAAACCTTTCAAAACGAATCATCCTAATGCAATATCAATAGCCTTGGCCATCACCTATTGAAATGTGTGCATGTAAAAATGATGTACTACCTAATAACACGCAATTGAGCTTTTATGAGTTGATTTTTCGAAAGTCTTTGTGATCGTGTTTCTAGCGACTCAAGCATTCATGCTTTAAATGTACTATGTCCCATTTGCAGGCCAAAAAAATGAAAAAGTTAAATTCCAACGGCATTTGAAAAAACAATACTAATTTAGAACTTCCCTAAAAAAAGGGGGGGAGGGGCTTGAAAATGTTTTTAAGTTGGAAAATAACGACTAATATAAAATTATGTCGAATTAGCTATAGAGCCAGTAAGTAATAGTCTGATTTTTCAGACCATTGTACCGAATGGTCGTACGTTGTATGCTGCGCAAAGATTCAATCAGTTTAATTTTTGCCATTACAAGAAGTGGGTTATTGATGTAGACAAATGCTCATGTACCCTTTACAGCTCACTTTATGTATGTTATTACCAAAGATGAAAAGAAGCCAGTCAGTCACGCAATAGTGTCTGACAGTGACGTCTAGCAAATAAACGGGTTTCCTTGCATAATTTGAATATTAGGACACTTCTTACGTTTAAATTTCACAAATAGGTCATACATGACACATTCATAATTCCTGCAAAGTTCTACATAATTTGATGTTGGCTGCAAAAGGGACATATTATCTTTAATAGCTGGCCTCTGTATATATCTTGATGTGTTGATTTACCTCTATACTTTAAAAATGTTCAATTATATCTATGATCATTTATTTTGTATTTCAGTTGTCACATGTTATGTAAATCAGTTGTGTTATTAATATACTATTATTGTTGTTTGACTGTTACGTATATGAGTTTTCAATAACTACAGAAACATCTGCTTAAAATAGGTTAATGATTATATCAATAGCTCTCATTTCCTATTTTAGTTTCGGTGCGTTAGTCTGCTATGAAGTATGCCGTTACCTAGTAACGAATCATAACTTACAGCCGAACCATCTCATCGTGTCTGGAACATTCGGCCCTCACGTGAGTATTATGTGAATATATACACAATTTACTGGTTTTTCCCCTTTTTCCTTCTTCTTTTAAATACTTGTTTAAATATAGTTTCTATACAATTGTTGATACTATTACTTCCTTTTTTAACAATAATGATTGCTAATAAAGAGGTATTGAAACAACCTTTCACACGGTTATTATTTCATACACACTCAGTATTAATGGTTAGATCTCTTATGCAGATTATCAAAACACCCCAATGGGAATAATTTCTTTAGTTTCATGAGAGTCCAATGTAGGCGTATGTACATGTAGCTGTGTGAAAGACAAAGATATAAATAACTATAGAAGTTTTGAATAGATTTTAGTCAACACCAATCTTAGAGGTGATATGGAAACAATTCGCGTAGCTACGGATGCCCTCACCCCCTTAAACACCCACACTGAATCGAATGGTGAAAAAACAAAAAGAGATCAAATAATAATAATAATAATGATAATAATAACGAAAGGAAGAGGGAGAAAGGCAACGCAAGATGATAATACGACTCCCTCCCACACCATCCTCAATGCAATATTAACTTGTTCATTCATATTCAATCCACCTAGTAAGTATGCCCCCTCAAAACAAAACAAAAACTCGAGTGCCCCCCCCCCCCCCTCAAGGTCTAGACACACAGTACGCCAGTGATGGAAAGTAACAAATTAGATCCTTGTGAAGAGAAGGAAGATATTAAAAAGAATATTACATCTTATAATTTTTCTTGTTGATATATTGATTGTTCATACTTCATTCTCCTTTTTTTTAAATCATTATTTCGTTATTTTCTTTTCAAATTTCACCCGTATTGCGTTTCTAGTCAGAATTACGAGCCCAGCACCGGATCGGGTGGACACGCATGACTGATAAACAGTTCGTTGCTAAGTTACGAGAGTTGGGAGGCACGCCCCCTGATGTTTTGGAAAACCAGGGACTGATGAAAATATTCCTTCCAAGTTTAAGGGCTGACCTGGAAATAGCTGAACTGTATAGGTTAGTTATGATTTTTGTTGTGTGTGAAATGCAGTTAAATATGTCTAACATACAAAAAAATCAACAATAACAATCAAACAACTAAATTATTGTCAATTACTGGTATCAAGAGATTACATACGATTATAAGAGGCAACCAGAGGAAAACAATGCGCTTCAGAAAGGAAAAGTAATACAAAGAGTAGGCACCTGGCCAAATGAAAGAAAAACATATCAAACTCAAACCTTTCATTCCTACTAAATGTTTCATGTTATATTTGATTATATGATGTTGTACATTTGTGTAAGTGTGATGCGTAATTTCATCCTATGATATTACTAACAAAAACGAAGTCATTTATATAGCGCTCTTACACATAACGAAGGGTTTCACAGCGTTAAAACAAATTGACGTAGAAGAAGCTAAAGTTTACAATAATCATTGAATAGGAGAGTTTGGCACTATCATGACAGTGTACCTTAAACATTAGCTTTTAAGTGGAGTTATAATTAACTACCTTTTATACAACATAAGTTTCGGATTCAAGGTTTTTAAAGACCAGATTGATGTATTCAAGTTTTATTTATACGTCATAACAAGGTACTTTAGATGATGTGATACCTTATGAGGTGTTTTTTTTCTCGACTGCTTGTCCAACACATAGTGAAGCAGGGGGGGGGGTAGTACTTGGCTCTTCCCCAGGACTCTTGAATGTTGTTGATTAACCTGATCTTATCAAATCATACCAAACCAAGTCTAAATCAAATAACTTTTGAATTTATATAACTTATTCATAGCGAACCTGCCCCGGTTGAACCGTTCATCTCATGTCCACTGACATGCTTCAATGGAAAAGAAGATCGTGCGCATCCACCAGAAGGTACGATGATTATTATATACTTCATCAACATTCTCAATCCCTTATCCCCAAACACTCCATTTTCTATTAGTGTCTATTAGTTTGTCTGCCTGTCTCTGTCTCTGTCTCTGTCCCCCTCTCTCTCGCTCTCCCTCTATCTCTCTCTTTCCATTTTTGTCTCTTTCTCTCTCTGTAGGCCTATCACTCTTTGTCTTTCTATCCTTTGGCAAGGCATTGATCTACATTTGTCACACTCAACCCAGGTGATGTAAATGGGTACCTGGCAGGAATTTATTCTTTGAAATGCTAGAGCGCCGCAATGGCAGCACAGCTAAAGCCGGGGTAATAATCTCCAAGTTTGGAAGCGCTTATAGTGATTCTAATTAACTCTATATAAAAACTGAGTATTATTATTATATCCTACTTCCTCTTTTATAATTCTCACTCTCCCTTATTCACTCTCCAGATAAAAGAAACGAAAGGCCCTTTGTCTTTAACTTTGATGCTAATGAATAGTTTGTGAATAAAAAGAGAAAATCGCAAAGGTCATGACTCCTGGTTAGACTGCTAAAACTTATTGCCTGTATCATAATTTGTCACCACCACCCCCAACCCGTACCCCTTTATCAACCATCCATTGTTCTCTTTAAATGTATATACATTCTTCTCGATTTTCCACATTGAAAATGGATGTTTGTGATTCCATACCATTTTTGTGACGTCAAACTTTGATCAATCATTGCTATTATACTTATTTCGTGATAGGTTGGGCCGAGGCGACAAGCAGTACAAACTTTCACACTGAACTACTTTCAGGAGGACATTTCTTTCTTTTAGAAGAGGCCAACAAACGAAGGATATGCGAATACATAGCCAGCATTCTACCAGACTACCACTAAACAGAACGTGGTAGCAATGGAAACAGATGGTGTTTGGCTGGCTGCTAATCGCATGTTTCTCAGTTCTGTTGTTTATCTGAGCAAAGTCCAATGTGTTCAGTCATTTGGCGTCCTCACAAAACCAAGTACTTTTGATTTCTGAACATACATTAACACCGGACGTCTCATTTCACTGACTTCATTACACCATTCATGTGATCTGAGCTCTTGTATGGCTATTATCTTAAAGGGCAATTCAACCCTTGAAATACGATCATTTTGACTGTATACAAGCAAAAAATAAGAGAAAACATAATGGCAAAAGTTGAAATAAATCAGACCAATAAAATATAGAGAGTTATGAATGTTTGAAATATGAGATCGCTTTAGATATGCGAATCTTATATTGACAATTTTGTCAGTGGATTGTGACGTAGTCACGGACAACTGGCCTATTTGTCTTGTACAAAAAGCAATAATTTCTAATTTTCTCCCAAGTGGGCAGGTGGGGTACTACTCAAAATATATCATCGACAGTGCGTTGTTACAGGCCCTCTATAAAGAAAAGTCCCTCGCGGATAACAAATTTTAAAGAAAAACAAAATCAAACTGTTGTCATTGGGAAATTTGTCCAGCAATACATAGCAGAGACAGTACCGATTCAGTCAATTTGAAGTGTCCATACCTGTAATGATTATAAATTTCAAAAATTCAGAACCGTCTTATTTTTTGTCCGATTTCGTTCAAATTTTCACTAGTCTGCTATTCTGATGGTTATGCTTTCTTTTAGAGTTGTTTGCTCTAATGTTGGATTTTCCTGTAGTAATGCAGTGGTCAAATATACTAAAATCTTAGATGTGATCGGTAACGTACGTTTGTGTGCGAGTTTGTTCTTTTGCCCAGAGGCCTTCGATTCAAAATTCTTTGACTTTCATGTCAGTCTATGCATTTCCAAACATGTATTATTCTTTCTTTTTTTCTTCTTGTCTCGTTTTGTTCAGGTGTTTGATAATTTTTGTTAGTATATTGAACTATGCAATTTCATTATTGTGGAAAATATTACCTAACTGTTCGTTCTTTATGAGCCAAGTCATGTTGTGTATTTATTGTAAGTTTGTTCAAACCGATTGTCAACCATGCCCTGTACATATCAAGATGTTATGTTGTTTTATTGGAAATGGAAAAAAATGAAATGAAATGAAAACGTATGGGACAAACAGCTTAGCATTGTCCACGGTACATACTTCTAAGAAATGATCCAACTTCATCGCCATCCTAGAATAGTGGTGGCAGCGGCAGGATATTCAAATTACTTGTTTAGATTGGATGGGATAGGAGGGCGGGGTAGAAGGTAGAAATAGGAAAGAGACAATAATAAAATGGGAATGTCCCACCTCCAGATTTAGGGTTTGTTACCATGGTTACAGGTGACAATATGTACCAGCCTTAATTTGTGGCAGTGGCGATGACGTGATCTGTATTTCAGTGTGTGGGTAGGGTGGGATTCTTTTAGGACCGGGGTTATATATATCCGGGGAGAGGAGTTGGCACTGTAAAAGGTATTGTAATATTTTCGTAAAAACATTATTAAACCTTTCTTCGCTAATTATGATCACCATCACCACTCAGTACGTCTTGAGTTTTGGAAGGGTAGTTATAACAACCATCACCATCACCACCACCTCAACAACATGAATCATAACAACACCACGACAACGAAAGAAACACAACAGTACTACAATAGCTTTAAACCCTCTAAGCGATAGCTACTAGAAGCAGCCACTTAAAACGCCAAGCTTGAAATCTACCATGACATGATGTTCACGGACCACAGTATATGTACCGTAATGTATCGAGAGACATTAACGACCAATTGAAACTATTTTTTTGTGTAACTATGTTTGGAGTTGGTTTTCCCAATATAACCTAGACAATGATATCGGATGTCATATCTGTGATATCATAAAAACGTAATTAAGCCGCTTTTCTTTCCTATTTTTGTTTCCTGTTCTCCCTGCTTTCTTTAAAAAACTTTGAGACACATTTTGCTCTATACTCAGTTGCAGACAATGAATCCAAAACGGATTATGCCCTTCAGTTAAAAGAACGTCTTTAATTTCAAATAATACATTATGACATGTAGTTTAAGCTTGCCTATACTAACTGTTAAAGTTGGTAGTAACTTAAACTACATATTTATGATTAGCCCAACTAACGAAAGTTTTCTGTATCAATAAATTGTGATATGACAACTGTTGTTTTGTCGTCTCTTATTGTATAAGATGTTCTTGTGTTGTTGTGATGAAATTGTATTTTGAATGGAAGTTGTCATGCGTGAATAATTTCGCCCTGGTATTTTGCCCACTTGCTATCTTGAAGGGTTAGTCCAGCCCTTAAATATAGATGACAGACAACTATTTTTCGTCAAATGATTTAAGGGAAATCAGACAAATAATAATGTAAGATATGTTCCCAAAGATTACGTTCTTAGTATCTGGGATACAAAACGGCAACGCGGTCATGAAACTCTGAAAATGATGAAATAACAAATCTTTATCATGTATACATACAGAACTTTTGTGAATTTATATTCTCAATGATTATTCCCCCGTTACCAAGTGGAAATGTAATTAAATTAATGAATATGTACCTTTATCTATAAGTGTCTTTCCTTTTTTAACCTATATGAAGGAAGTATGAAAACAAAACAAACTATGACTAAATCACTCCTAACTTGTCATTATACGTGATCTTCAGCTCAAACCATGGAGCTCCTTGCATGGTCAAACAGACTGAAGCGTCATGTTTGCATGATTTTATTTTAGGTGCCTTACATGATTTCCCAAATTGTTTCATTCATATCGTTTCCGTTTATTTTCTGTCTTTGTATCGAGACTGGACATGTTGCCGGGCTTCCCCATTATGATAACCTATGTTTTAACGTTTTACCTTCCTCATCTCTCTCGTTAATCATGAGCTATATACTTCTTTAAATTATCATCTCGTGATCTATTTCGCAGGGGAGGCTCCAGACTTCTTTAAAGGGGAAGGGGGAATACGGAGGAGGAGGAGGAGAAGGAGGAGGAGGAGAAGAAGAAGAAGAAGAAGAAGAAGAAGAAGAAGAAGAAGAAGAAGAAGAAGAAGAAGACAGGTGTTAATCACCCTTTTTGTGCTCTGAAACACACAAGATGGGGAATGAAAAGAAAGTATTGAATTTAATACAAAATGAATGAAGAAAAAAATATATATTTGACGCCATTTTACTCAGAAAATCTTTGACCAGCAAGATACAAAGGCTAGGGTTATCACATCTTCATGTGCCATTTGGTGTATCATATTCAAAATGGAGCTTAAGAGCGCAAATTTAGGTAGGGGTATTTTTTGTTTCCTTACGTCTGCCGGATATTTTTTTTTATAGGGGTACTTGCCCCTTCCGCCCCTGGACCCGCCACTGTGATTTCCATCCGTATTTCCTTCTCGGGAAGGAAACTCATACTAGAAAACGTAAACAGTCATCCACCAGACAAGATTAAAGATAGAGTTGATTTCTGGTCATCCGAATATAATAGTGTGTACGAACATTGTCTGGAATCGATTGGAAATGGTATAGATTCTATATAGTTTAGGAATCATCAAATTGATTAAAAATTGACTCGGTCAATCTCGCACTGTACACATAAATGTGTAGCTGGTATCTCTTTGGTCGTATTACACAAGCATGCATGCAGCAAGAACGTTATGTTTGTGCAATCACTTTTGCTGTATCTTGTCATAAATAAGGTTATTTGCTCTTTTTAGATGACCCCTTATTCTCGTAATTTGTTTTTGCTCTATTTACTCTGTATTGATTTCTATTGGTATCTGTTGTGTATATATTTTGATGTATATTTTGTTTTCATTGAGAATGAGATAATGACTGAACTGAATTATTTCGGAAACGAGGGCATTTAAAGAGCCATCCTTTCTAATTGGCATTTTCTTTTCTATGATATCCTGCCATACTAACATAAATAGAATGAAAAAGCTTGTAATTTATTCTTTCATATTGCCCAGATCGAACTAGACCAGTCCTTCTCTTTAAACGTAGAATGTTGGGGGAAACAAGGTTGTAATTATATGCATACACGTATAGCTATAAATAAATTATATCTACGTCACTATCGTAGAACTCTTGTTATAAAATTGTTTGTTGAGAGAGGGGAGGGAGGGGGAGTTTGAGGGGGAGTTTGAGAGAGATGTAGGTGGGTGGGAAAGAGAGAGAGAGAGAGAGAGAGAGAGAGAGAGTTTAAGAGACGGGGGAAGAGATGATCGAAGTGGGGGAAAGACTGAGCTTGACAAAGAATGAAAGAAATGGAGAAAGAGAGAGAGAGAGAGAAAGAGTGGGAAAGGGGGTGGTATTATTAATTGACAGAGAGGATTATTAAGGGAGAAATAATGATGAAAGAGAAAGAGAGGGGAGATGTAGATGGGGTGGGAAAGAGAGAACAGAGAGTTTAAGAGAGCGAGAGGGGGGGGGGGGTAGAGATTATCGAAGTGAGGGAAAGAGACTGAGCCTGACATGTCATGAAAGCAAGGGTGTATCTATGGGGATGTTTTATGTGTTCATACACCCCCCCCCCCTTGGCAAAAGGGGGCTGTTTTTAAATGTTAAAGACAGCCTTTATCGTTTTTCTTCTTTAAGCCCTAATTTTTGTTGCTAAAGGGCGGGTGTGGATGTTGAGGGGAAATTGTTTTGCTTACCCATACCACCCCCCCCCCCCCCCCCCCCCCCCCCCCCCCCCCCGCTTATTCACCGGCTGGCTGATACACCGCGAAATATTTTCTCACGACTTATTGGGCAAAAAAAATATATATGCTTTGCTCCTCATCCCCCTTAAAATGACAGAGATATGGCTTTAATCAGATGTTAATCTTAGATAAATGTATAATCATGTTAATAGGGACAATGGGTCTAGAACTTTAACCACACTTCCGGGTCTCTCTTAAGAATTAACCACAAACGGTGTGATGTTTTTACTAATAAAAGCGGAATTTCATCTTCCGAACAAAACTGCACGAATCCTGTTTGTGGTGCACCCAAACACCTCGATCTCAAGATCCTGGAATTCCCAAATTTCAAGTACGTCGCGCTTCTCTATTGTTTTATATATTGATTCGATAGCTTCAGATCGAATACAAGACAAGCTAGACATTGTTTCACATAAAAGTTTGAATTCATATCAGTCGGAGGTACGTAAGCTTCCATGATACATTTCTTGATCATATAGCACAAACAAAAATTCGTGAATATCTTAATTTAGTTTACAGTCTTACAGAACTATACACGAAAGGGGAATTCACATATTTTATAGAGCTGCTCTCTTCAAAATGTATGCCATCAACATTTTGCTGAGAAATTTCGATGATTACTATCCGTTTTCCTCCCGCTTCTTTTTGGCGCCTCATTTTCGGTGTATCAACATATAAAAAGGCCCATCGACATTTTATTTGTTCTTTGAATAAATAGGCCAGATTTTTGGTCAGTTAGTCGAATATTCTTCGATTTGGGGCTTCTGAATACAATTTGTCAAAAACATACATTTTATTTTATTGGTATGCAATAAACCAGCCAAGACACAGCGTAAATAATTCAACTAACTGACTGCATATCAAGGCTTGCACTATGTTGAATATCCGAGAGGAAGAAATAACAACAAAATAACAAAAATAAACAACCAACCAATCTAAACAATTAAATAAACAAACGAAAAACAAACAATGCAATAAATAAAACACAGGGGGAAACACAAATAAATAAACAAACAAACAATAAACAAACACAGATCAATCAGATTATGCCATGGACAATATTGGGCAATCAAAATCAAGTAAAAATACGAAATCAAACTTACCAATCAACTGTCTTCTGTTCGGATCTAGGCCTATTTCTTACTTGAATTGTCCCAAAGAACCTATAACTCTATATTACTGGTCCCTTCCACGAGCCTGCATTCATTAGTAAGACAATTTTCAAGACGGATGCTTATAAATGGAGAGGGTAGTAAAATATTACTTTGACACAAGGGCGTCGACTACATGTGGGGGGAAATGCCCCCCCCCCACAAAAAACAACAACACACAACAACACACAACAACAACAAATAAAGCTTAAGACAGTTATCAGCCCGAATAATAATTACTGGAGGTGTTTTAGTCTAGTGGATAAAGTCACCAGACAATGAAGTACCAGTATATGGATTCGCAACCCTTTTACGGTATCGATGTTCTTTGGCAAGATATATATTGACATTTTCTGCTATCCATCACCCCCCCCCCCCCAATCAACTGTGCTTGATCCACTTATCTTTGTATTCATTTATATAAGCAAATCTGCTGGTAGATGGACATGAAAACCAGCCCTTGTTAATTTTATTTCTAGTATTATTGCTATCAGGACACCTCACGGATGCTTGTAATGGAGAGGGTTGTATCATATTGCTTTGGCACGAGGGCGTCGACTAAGGACTGATCAAAATAATGGGGGAAATGCCCCCAAAGGAAAAAAAAAGTAGCTTAAGGTATCAGCCCCCAATCATATTACTGGAGGTGTTTTAGTCTGGTTGATAAAGTCACCGGACTATAAATTACAAGTTTCGGGATTCGAAACCCTTCCACGGTATACCAATATCCTTAGGTAAGACATTCCTCGACATTTTTTTGCTATTAATCACCCCCCCCCCCTAAGGAATTCCACAATCAATCGTGCTTGATCCACCAATCTTTGTCTTCATTGTAAGAAACTCTGCTCAGGAAGTTAGACATGTTTATGAACTCTAGTTTATCGTAAATAGTTATGAAATTATGTTATGGGAGTTGTTGCTACCTTGTTTGGCGTTCAAAAATAAGGGATAGAGCAACGTCGATCTGGCGCTGCTCAGTGGCTGCCGGGCTCACGATCAATTGGGCAAAGAGAATTTCCGTTTCGGTTTAATAACATTTGGAGTGGACTATTAGGCTATTATTAGTATTATTATTATTATTACGGATATTACAAACTTTAATAACTATATACATTCCAGAACATCCAAGGATCATGAACACATGTTTCTCTTATTTTCTGCTAATTTTTTTTTTTTTCTGAATTATTTTCACAAAAATGAACTTACTACAAAGGTTGGATTGTTCTTTAATATGTTAACACATTCATGTACAGAGAAATATAATTCAGAGATTAAATTTAAACTAAGGTTATTTGAAAAGTAAGTAAAAGGACTTGTT